TAGGGACTCCTCTCTTTCTCTCTCTCTCCTCTTTCTGTGTCTGGTTCATGGAATCCATGGGGTTTCATAACTCATGTTGTCAGTTCCATCATTATTGCTGTATTTTCTGCCTCTTTTTTGCTCATATACTCTCCGATTAAATGCTGTTATCTCTACTGTATCAACTATCATATTGTCTTATAATTATGATAATATCCCTAGCTAGCTAGCTAGCTAGCGCTGCTGAAGCTAGGTTTCCTAATCATGTGAATTCGGAGTTGTCCATGAAATCAAAATACGGCGCCGGCCAGCCCATCGCAGACAGTCAGATTAAAAACCCTTAATTAATTAATTAATTAATTAAGGCAATCGATCCATGTACCACTATAGCCAAAGGGATATGTTAGCTAGCTAAGCTTACATTACATGTATCTAATTCTCTCTCGATCTAGCTGTTCAAACTAAACGAAATCATCCCTAGCTAGCTAGCTAGCTAGTTCGTCATGTCATCAATTCATTGGTACAATATTAGCCACTTTGTTAATTAATTAAGTACCAGTGCTTAATATTGCTTATGATCGATCATCTTAATGGTCAGTAGTGTTTGTACTTAATTCGCGTCGGACCTTTAATGGCCTATTACTGCTTAGTCCTACGAGATAGCATAGCATATATATTAAGAAGCCCTAAGATATATAAGACTGAATATATTAGATGGCCTATTACTGCTTGACACCATGCATGCATATATCATAATTAGAAACGCACTTCTGTTTAAGAAAAGGAAACCACACTACTTGTAGTTGTTGTGGTGAAGAACTCAAGATTGGTGGGTGTAAATAAATGTAGCTAGCTAGGGAGATCTCTGACAGACACGTACCGGCGCGGTGGGTTCCACATTTAATTTATGAACGAGGAGTCATGAATGGAATGCTAGCTCTCCTCTCTTTGTTTCATTAATAGGAGGAGGAGGAGCCAGCAGTGTCGTCCAAAATGAATTATGCACACTACATGCATCTAATCTAATCTAATCTAATCTAATCTAATCTAATCTATGTGGCATACTTTGGGTGTGGGTTGGTGCAATTTTGAAGTAATATTAGTATTTTAGGTAATTAAATTTATCTTAATCAAGGTTTGGAATTTTAGAAACATATCTGGAGTCCCGGGTTTAGCCATTGAGTTTTATTGATGATCAATAATATGTATCCTAAATTTCAAATTCAGTCATTAATTTAGATAGCGTCATCTTACTACATGAATTTCGTCATATATATATATATATTCCAAATTGCAGTGGAAGCTTTGGGTGGCAGTAATGGGGGAGAGAGACAGGGAGATGGAGAGGAAGTTAATAGACGCAGCGATTCCTTGTGGCCGGTATATATAGAAATTACTACAAGTCAAGAAGTGGATGAGTAGAGGGTTAGTACAGATGCGGGCGCATGACATTAATGGATCGGAGACGCATGCATATGAATGTGTGTGAATGTCGGGATGGCGCACGGGGCCTTTGCTTTGGCTGCTCCGACTTACATTACATCAATGTTACCACCAAAGAACGTACGTAGGTAGGTTAATTAATTAGAGTTCCAAACATTGATGAAGCTGCCGCAGGATGTGTGACTCGTTTCCTTCCTTCCTTGCCTTCCCACTTTATTTACATCTTCTTCCTCTACTGCGCTACACTGATCTCTACGTCGTTTCAATCTCATTAGTATTTGTTCAACCTTAAATTTGAGATAAAAACTGTGAGGTATGGGTCCTTCAAACTAGCATGAATTGATAATATATATTATTTTACAGGAAAATCAAAATATCTAGTAATACTACATAGTTTAGAAAAATAAGTACTCCTGTTATTGAATTACCGAAAAGTATTTAATATTAATTTCGAACTATATACCTTCTAAAAAATGTTGGGAGCCGTTCTGTTTGGATACTAACAATTTAATTTAACGCCATGATTGGACAACAAAATATAAAACTAACAATAATTACCAACAGCTGCAGTCTTTAATCACCGGAATTTGCATAAAATAGTTTGTTTGCTACTAGGTGGACAACTCCGTAAAACCTTTTAAAGAGTATAAAAACACGAAACTAACTCAGATGAGAGAAAAATAAGAGTACAATTATCTCTTCATGAGAGTGATAAATCATAGCGATTACGTCCAAATACTAAGGCAATGAAAATGAACTCTGCATAATAAAACAAACAAAATGACCCATATATGGAAATAGAAAAATCTATTGTCCAAAACCACAACAAAATCTGTTGAATATAAAAAAAATTGTTGAGGATCAGTTGAAATTGGAAAATTTGGAATGTGATAATTGAAGTTGTATATCAAACTAGGGTGACAAGGTTAATAACTCAGCCCAGTAGTGTGGAGCTGGAGCTAGGACTCAATTTTGAAATATAATTAAAATTACTTGTAAAATTAGAATAAATTTAGGAATTAGAGTAGTTAGTATGTATTTAGATCCCTCATCTGATTACGACAATTTAAGTCCGCTCCTGCTCGTTCGAATTTCTGGCTTCCCTACAACCTAGCTTAAGCTAACCGCATTTTCTTCAACATATCCACAAACTTAATTGTTCTGAAAGTACTCCACCAGTTTGTGGCGGTAGAGATGGAACTGGGCAAATGAGACCTTTGCCTGAACAATAGAGACTCTACTCGTGCCTCTTCCTTCTCTCCTACCTACTTCTTTGGTGTGGTATAGCTTTTGATGGTGCACTTTGTTGCACATCCTTGCCATTTCCGAGCGATCCGTAGCCTGTGCAGGAGACATCAAACCCTGAATCTGGCATTTCATACCTAGATATATAGAAAAGCTCTTGCAAGTCTCCCTTGGCCAACACTTTCTCCTGATTTGGTTTCCCAAGAACTGATTCTGCTGGTTGAACAACTGAGTTGGACTCTGCTTCCCTTTGACTTGTCCAGGAAAAATTAGCGTGGATCCATCAGCCAGGATTATATACGTATATATGCAGCTATGAATTCCCTGCGAAAGATGTGAAATGTTGGGCAGGAAAACGATCGACCAAGTTTCCTCAATTTGATATATATATATATTCAATATCTCCACTCTCTGCTGGGAACTCGTCGGAGGTTTCAAGTGTGACAAATTGACAATGAAGGCTAGCGATCGCTTTCCGCACGAACGAGATCGCCGGCCATGTCAGCCTCTGCAATATTTTTTTATTCTCTGGGATTCCTTTTGTCTGCCCATTTGGTCCTCTACTCAGTGAAATGGACTTCTCAAAATAGACCACCTTCCTACTTATTTACCGATCCCGTCGGCTAATCGCTCCTTGAAGAAAAAAAACTTGCTTCTTTCTTTCAAAATATAGGAGAATCAAACGAGGAAATATATAAATAATGGATTGCGTCGTTATACGCTTGTAGTTAGGTCTAACTGAAAACAATTGTAACATTTTCTGCGACTTTGTTGAGAACGACACTATAATTGGTTTGTTAAATTGTATCGGACAATTTAGCGTAATGATATTTTAGTTGTACAATTGATAGTAAATTAATGTAATATTATTGTTAAAATAAAAACTAATATTATATTGGTGTATTTGGTAATAATACCACTAGTTTTTAAATTGGAGATTTTAAGTTTGAATCTCTTAATTAGTACCTTAACCACAAAAAAAACCTATCTCACCCTTATATAAAAAAAATTATATTATGTCGGTGAATATCATTGAAACCGAATTGAAGTATGGACATTAAAAAATTAATTTTAAAATCGATCGATATGATTTTCATAATATTTGTATTTTGTACAAGTTTGATTGACGATTAACAAGTTTTTATAGTGTGACTAACGTACAATACCTATGATATAATAATGATTTGGTCTCTATATGCAATTGAAAATAGTATACCCTAAATGATATGACATTTTGATATATTTCGATGAAAATTGAACAATCAGAACTGTTAATTTTTTCTTATGTAAAATTGATCTTAGGATTTTGGTTTACAAAATTAGAGTCTAAGGTTCACCCATTAATTATGAGGATATCTTACCATACTCCAAACTATAATTAATTCATATTTTAGATTGTATATGATAATTATGATCACTTGGATATCGTACTCCAAAAGTATAACAATCAGACTCACTCCATGATTTTGTCTTCGGTACACTCAATTTATTGGGCGCATTCATTTTAAAATGATTTTGATATTCACTTGTTAGATGAATATGATGAACAAGAAAATGCATGAACTTGCACATAAATCATTAAAGTTTTATTTTGATTTGAAGGATTCCAAGATTTTGGGATTTGAATTTAAAATTCGAGACTTATGATAGTCCATGGATTAGTTGTGATCTTATATTATCTAATCATATTGAAAGAATGCTAGCAAATAAAGTTCAAAATGCAATATCTTAATGTTAGTTTTAGGATTAAGGACATATTATACACGGATCATATGTTGAGTTTACAGTAGAAGCCACTTATATGATTTAACTATTATTTGATTTAGAATTTGTGACTTGGCATGGCCCATGCTTGATGGGCCGAGAGGCTTCCATGAGTGCGTTGGGCCTGTTATTTCTGACCCAACCCATGCCTCGGTTCAGATATCCCTCTACCTCTGTAAAATTGGGTAATCGGCAAAAGGGAAGGGCGTGTCTTAAGTCTTAAGTCTTAACTCTTTAACTCTTAGGGGTAGTTTGGAAATTGTGATTCTTCAAATTGATGTATTAGGTCAATTAGTGTATTATCATTTGATGTATTGATTCAATGCATGTATTAGGAAAATACTTTGTTTGGAAGAGCAATGATGAAACAAAAAGTAGGGTAGACAATCCCTCATTAACAATCTCACCTTTTAGTAGAGATTTATAATCATTCATTTTGAGTGATTGTAGGTGGGCCCAACAAAAAGATAATGCATGCATTCTAACTCAAAGTGAACCAAAAAAACGACTTAATCTTATCATTACATGTATTTGCTAAATACCTCACTTCAAATCTCAACCTCCAAACGACCCCTTAATCCCCACTCGCAAACTCGCCACCATGCCTTCCCAACTCCTCGTCGACTCGTCCTCTCTTCCCTCTTCTTCGTACTGTGTCGCGTCTTCTTCTTCCGTCGGGAATGCCAATCATCCTGAATGGCGACTTACGCAAGTATGCTTCTCGCACAGAGCTCTCTTCCAATCGGCTAAAACATGTCTTCTCCCACGAATCAGCACGGTTGTGCGTAATGCGAGGAGCGCCGACGGCGGAAGCAAGGGAGATGGCAGGTGGAGCCTCAGTGGCCAAACGGCCCTTGTCACCGGCGGGACTCGCGGTATTGGGTATGACATTTCCGATTGACACCGCTCGGCGGGTCTGATCACTTTCTGCCTTCAATTAATCAGTAACTTCCCTCTGAAATCGAAAAGGGATTTGTTTTGGCGTTCTTGTTGTTCTGTAGACGGGCCGTTGTGGAGGAATTGGTGGGTCTTGGGGCCAAAGTGCATACGTGCTGCAGGAATGGGAGTGAGCTTAGGCAGTGCTTGGAGGAATGGGAAGGCTTGCTGGGGTCTGGAATCAGCGGCTCCCTCTGTGATGTCTCTGTTGGTGAGAAAAGAGTTGAGCTTATGAGAACAGTGTCCTCTGTCTTTGATGGGAAGCTCAATATTCTCGTAAGCTTCCTCCCTCGTTGCTAATTTATGATTAAGTGAATCGATTGAGAATTGCCTGTTTTAGCTTTTTCCTTGACATTTATGAGCTGCAACTTAGAACCCTTTAGGTTTAGCATTCATGGAAGATCTGTGGAGGTAGGGATACTACCACGCACAGAGAACCCTTTAGGCTTTCTGATAGCTATTTTACAGGGCACGAACTTTTGAGGGTTGGGCTTCTTTCCTGCTCTGTAGGTTAACAATGTTGGGACAAATATTCGCAAGCCGATGGAGGAGTTCACACCGGTGGAATTTGCTACTCTACTGTCGACCAATTTCGAATCTGCTTTCCATTTAAGCCAACTAGCTTATCCACTTCTGAAGGCCTCAGGACAGGGAAGTGTTGTCTTCACATCTTCTGTGACTGGTTTCCTGTCGTTGAAGTCGATGTCTGTTCATGGAACAACGAAAGGTAAACTGCAATCAGCCTTCTACTTTGAGGGCTGAATATGGATGCATTGTTTCATTTGAAGGGCTTTCCTGACTGAGTATGCAAAGTGCTTTGATTGATGCCCAGGAGCAATCAATCAATTGACAAAGAGTTTGGCTTGCGAGTGGGCAAAGGACAACATTAGAAGCAATGCTGTTGCCCCATGGTACATCAAGACGTCCATGGTGGAACAAGTAAGTTAGTTTCCTTCTTTTTTTCCACTACCCTGATGATCAGTTATAAAACTTGTTTTACTCTGAGCTTCCAGGTTTAGTTTATATGATTGTTGTCACTGATCTCTCACCACCTGAAGAGAACGCACCTGCTCACTCCCTTCATCGATTTATTTCATCACAGGTTCTTAGCAATGAAAAGTATCTAGAGGAGGTATACTCGAGAACTCCTCTGCGGCGGCTGGGAGACCCAACAGAGGTATCATCCCTGGTTGCATTCCTTTGCCTGCCTGCCTCGTCTTACATCACCGGTCAGATTATTTGTGTCGATGGAGGGATGTCTGTTAATGGTTTCTTCCCCAGCCATTCTTAGAAGCTGCTACTAGTTTGGGTTCCTTACTTTTTTGGACCAAGATTGTGGGTAGCAGAAGTAGCTTCCATTCTGGGGCTGAGCCGGCTCTTGCCACCAAGTTCCATTCTGGCTGCTAATTTTTCTGTTTCCTTTCGAATAGTAATCAATTGTAAATCGATTCAAATTGGATGAATCAACGGACTGTAAGTTTCTTATCTGACTTCCCTTAGCTGCGTACCAAGCTCTATTTTCAGAACCAAACCTACTACTGAACTGGTAATTTAGATGAATTAATTTTCAGAGCCATTTTTTATCCTCATGATATAGTGAATCAATATATGCTTAAACCTTTAGATACCTTTTGGTGACCATATGGTAATATTTTCTAAAAATCACTATCGGGTGGCTTGGATTGGTATTTAACAAACCTGTTATCTGAGATTAATTATTACATAAATGCCATATGACACAATATCTCTTATGTGGTACTTTTACGAAATATCAGGTTTGGATGAATTATAATTAATGGTATTTACAATGAATTTTTTATTTTATTTTACCAATTTGTCATTCTTAACCCCATTTCTTTCTCGTTTGGTCAGCGTGTATATGCTCGATCAACATGCATATGTTTCAGTATTAATTTGTACTAAGTTTTATATGTTGTATTAATATAATAATGTGTTTTTAAAGGATTCACATAAATTGTAAAATTTTATAAATATACATTTTAAACGATATTAATATGCATGGAAATTACAATTTATTTTAATGTAATAGTGTGTCAAGACATATTGAGTTATTGTTACAGTTAGTTATAATTAATGTAATAAGATGAGCAACCAAGTAATGGTCACGTGAATAATTGGGCAAAATAGAAAAAAAATGATATGGCAGTTTGAGATTAAATAAAAAGACATAATTAGAACATAAAAAAAACAATAATTTATTATTTGAAAAGTAGCAGCCCTTTCCTAAAATTTGTCAAATAACAGATTTATGGTATTTTGAAAATAACGTATACCAAATGTTTCATCATTTTTTCCCAACGTATTAATTAGTTGGATCAAATAGCATACAAGCCATATATTTGTGTATGTTGGCACTTGCCATCGATAGCTGTACTTGGCACTTGCCGATACTGAGAAGCAGAGGCAGAAGAGAAAAGGCTGGAAATGGATGCAGCAGCTACCAGCTTTAGCAGCAGGATGAGCAAGAGGTGGTCTCTCCAAGGACAGACTGCTCTCGTCACCGGTGGCACCAAAGGACTCGGGTACTCTGTTTGTTTCCTAGCTTCTCTTTCCGATCATATCTTTGCCAGCTACAGATCTTCCATTTTTGGTCTCTCAAGTCTCAACCAATAGAAAGAGTGATAAGGATGTACGAGTTATAATTCTTGTTTCACAAAGAGGATTGAAAGCTTCTTTAGTTTATTCACGAGGCAAAGGATTTCGTTTGTACTGTTTTGTGGAATACCATGGCTTGAAAAATCTCTGTTTTTTAAATGCAGATGGTTTTGAGAGGTACGGTACGGATCCAACTTTCCATTTGGGCTTAATTTATGTTATGCCTTTCTTCTTCTTCTTCTTCTTCCTCCTTTCCCCCCCTCTTCCCAATGGCTGCATTCACGACTGTTTAATTATAAGATATGCTATCGTGGAGGAACTGGCAGCCCTAGGGGCCACTGTCTACACATGCTCCAGAAATAAGGCAGAGCTTGATAAATGTTTGAAGGGTTGGAAAGAGCTGGGTCTGCAGGTAACCGGTTCGGCCTGTGATTTGACCTCTGCATCTGAAAGACAGAAGCTAATGCAGGCCGTATCCTCTCAATTCAACGGAAAGCTTAACATCCTGGTGAGTTGAGTACTTCCCAGGCCGGCCTTATACAAGGATGGTTGGATCTCACTTTTCAGTAATTCAATTTTGATCTGGTGCTGAAACTTGTTGTGGGTTGTAGATCAACAACGCCGGGGCAAATGTAGTTAAACCCACTCTGGAGTTCACGGACGAAGATTACTCCCTTCTGATGCGTACAAACATGGAGTCGGCATTCAGCCTGAGCCGACTTGCACATCCTCTTTTGGCGAATTCCGGGGCAGGAACGATCGTGTTCATGGGATCTGCTGCGGGTGTCACATCTCTGAGTGTTGGCAGCATATATGGGATGACCAAAGGTACATACTTTAATCACTATGTTTTGAGTTAAAAGGAATCTACGCAAATCCTTCTAGACTTCATCATCTAACCTTTTGTTTTGCAGCTGCAATGGTTCAACTAACCAAAGATCTAGCATGCGAGTGGGCAAAGGACAACATAAGGATCAACTGCGTTGCACCTTGGTTCATCAAGACTGCCATCAATGAGAGCGTATGTAGTGTACTCAGATCTCTTTCTCGCGCAACGGATTGATGAATGAATGGGGAGATTTATGAAGTTGGCTTTGCAGCAGCTATTGAAATGTTGTAATGTAGGGTTTGGTTTTTTGTTGTGTTTTGCAGTACTTTGAGAGCGAGGAGTTCTCAAAGTCAGTGAGAGCTCGAACTCCCATGGGACGAACTGGAGAGCCGGAGGAGGCGGCAGGGTTGGTTGCATTCCTCTGCCTTCCGGCAGCCTCTTATATTACCGGCCAGACTGTTGCCGTCGATGGGGGAGCCACTGTCCATTGCTTCACTCCACCTGGAAGTGGAAGGTCATGAATCATATGGCATGTTCATCTCCTACTTTATAACCCTTCACCAGCCGATAATAATCATCTACCAAATTGCTGATTGTGTTCCATATCACAGCTCCATTACGGTGAAATCACTATTGTGCTTGAAGCATCGTCACAATGATGCTTCTTCTAGCCAAATTCATCCATCTATTTCCTACTCTTCTTCTGTTTCATATATAACTTCTTATACTGCTTATGATAACAATCCTAGCTAGATGAATCAAATTTGGTTGCAAACTTAGCAGAAACGTACCATGTGGTTATCCTTTACACGAAGGAGTAATGTTGCTATAATTATTGTGTATATAAGGTGAAGGTATTGTGTATAATAGTGTGCTTTGAGTGTCTTGATTATCATTTTGTATTACTAGTGTGTTTTGGTTTTGAGAACATTTGTTTGGTAGTGTGCTTTGAGTATTTTGCCTATTATTCTCCAAGGATAAATAGAGTTTCAGGTTGTAAATAGCATGCATTTGTGTGTTTATTCGATCCATTGAAAATAAGTATGAGAACTGAGACCAACAATTAAACTTCATTTCATATAGTTTATGGATCTTCCATAAAACTCCACATGACAATGGACCAGGGACAATGCTAGTTGGAATTATGGATATATTGCAAAAGATTAATAAAATAAGAAGAAATTTACATATATAACACAACTTGTGTCTTTATCAATTAAGCTAGCTAGCTTTTTATTCAGATTTCTCTTTATGTATACACTAATTAACCATTGAAGAACATTTATTTTAGGTATATCATCAACACCATTTCAAGAATTTGTATAGCAAACTCTCATCCAAGTTCAATTCTCGTCCAGTTCCCATGCCTCAGCACAACTTCATCCATATTTCAGACCTAGATTGAAATCCTGTAAGAAGAAAAATACACATACATAGTGTAAAGATAAAATGATTACCATTAATACAAACCGACTTCCGAGAAAAAAAAAAATCAAACACAAAAAAGAACATATACGTGACTTACTTGTTGCAGTCGATGTTGGGGTCAATAGGTACGGGGACATTGACACCACATAAGCTAGGGAGAGCCTTGGCGACAGGGGGATCGACGCGATAGGTGATGATGGCAGGTTTGAAGCACTTGCAGAGCTGTTGACGAATGGCGGCGGTGTTTGCCTCATCGTTCAACAGCTTAACATTGGAGCAACATTGGGTAGACGGTGAAGGGGCTTGCTTAGTGAGGAATGGCAAGCAGGGCAGCAACTGAAGCAAGGCACCTGGGCATGTCACGGCCGCAGCTTGCCCGTTCACTAGTGTACTTGTTGACGAGCCCATCATCATCAATGCCAACATGAAAGCTACTGTAGCTGTGCCATTCACTCTACTGTTCACTGATGTCTTCATTGTGATTTTTTAATCTGATCAATACAACTTCTTTTATTTGAAAGTTGGAATAATTTTGCCGGTGGTGGGTGCTTTACTGATATGAGATGGGGCAAAGATAGCTATGTCTGTTTTGCTTTTATAGGCATCAAAGTGTGTTGGATAATTGTGGATTTGTTTCACCTATTAATATTATTGGAATCATTTGGAGAAAGGAAAACAATCTTGTTATGAATGAGATTTCATAGCATATATATTTAGCAGGCTATCTGATCTCATATCCATGCATAATATTTTCTTTTGGGTGTATTTAAGTCTGAGGGTTTTGTTAATAAATTTAATATATTCAGAGAAATCAATCTATAAAAATAGAAATGTGGGATAGTACTACATATATCATATTGGATCTTGATTATAAATTGAAAGACAATATGGTAAATTTAGCGTCATAAGTAGAGAGATTAACATGTATATTAACAATATACAAAAATTTATGTATTCTTCTTCTTCTGTGTGCGCCTATGATACACTACCCTTGTTACTATAACTGCATAAACATTTTATTAACATAATTCAAATGAATCAAAATACGTTATAAAACTTAATTTTCTAGCATGTGATGTTCGAAGTAAATTGCCAATAAAATTATCAGAACGACAATGTGACAAAATTTAGTGTCATAAGTAGAAAGATTATCATATTTATTAAGAGTATATAAATTATCATGTATTCTTTATTCTTCTTCTTCTGTGCGCCTATGATACACCCTTGTTTCTATAATCGCATAATTTTTTTGTCACAATTAAAATGAATCAAAATACGATCTAAAACATAGTTTTCTAGCATGTGATGTTCGAAGTCAATTGTCAATAAAATTGTCGAAACAAATGCCAACGAAAAATTGATTATGCATTTTAATGTATAACATGTTCGTCACTTTTTTTGTAAGGGTGAAATCTATTTTATTAATTAAGAATCTAGGAATTACAAATATATTAAGATATTATTACATTCCAGCTTATGATTCACATTCATTCCGTTAACCTATCCAGATAAAGGTTGGCAATAAGTATAGAAACCAGCTTACTCCGTCATATCTTAACTTTCCCACTTGCATAGCTTCATTCAATACATGATAGCTTAATGCTTAGCACCCCACCAGAAAAGATCCTAATGCCTTACAAGTTTCCTATAGAGAAACCCTGACAGCCACGAGGAAGACATTACATGAATGGGAAGGGCATTAACCACTGCCTTTAGAAATACCTCTTTCACAGCCAAAGACAAACATCGTTGTTTCTAACCTTGTAACCGGCTGCGCAATTTTTTCTCCACATATCAGAACATCTCCATCTTTGACCATCAAGTTAAGGAAGAAAGGCCCAAGTTCGTAGCAATAACCTCGGTAGCTCCAACCTCAAGGATCATACCCAAATTGCACATAGGGCAAGACATTCTGGCTAAAACACACAACTGATTTATCAAGGTTCACTTTCCACCTACTTAGCTTCATGTGCATCTAATAAACCATGGAAGGTACGTAGAAACAAGTATGAGTCATCAGCAAAGAAAATGTATGATACTTTTAGGAATCAAGGACCGATTCGAAGGCTCCTAAGGCCCTGATTTCGAAAGCCTGCCAAAAGAGAGCGACAAATCCTTTAGTACAAATGGCAAAGAGCAAGGGGGATAGGGAGCCCTCCTAAATTAAAAGAGTCCCTTAATTGCTCGAAAATACCCCGAAGGACTACCATTTTGTATGACCGAAAAGGTTTAATATGATTCATAAGCCAGAAATCATCCATTGCGCACAAAACCCATGTTTATGAAACAATCCAAATAAAAATGATCATTCCATCCTATCATAAGTCTTTTCAATGCTAACCTTTAGTGTCATAAATCCCTACTTCCCTGTATGCTTTTTCCTCAAATAGTGAATGACCTCATGACCAATCATGACATTGTCAACAATATGATGCCTATGTAAAAAATTCATTTTGACTCAAAGAGATAGTCAAGGAAAAGAAACGAGTTAGCATTTTTGCCAGAATCTTTGCAATGATCATATAAACCAACTGACATAGACTAATCGGTCAAAATTGCTTCATATGTTCTACCGTGTTCACCTTCGAAATCAAACCAACCATATTTGATTCGCGTTCATTAATAGCGACCTAATAGAAGATAAATGGCTCACTCCACTCGTGACATCCCCATGATATCCCAATATTTCTTGGAAAAAAAAGTAGAGTAAAGCCACCAGATCCACAAGCATGAGTTTTCCAATATGGAATACAACACTACGGATCTCAATAGTAGTAACATGCATCATCAGTTTTTCATTCATTATGTTAGTCACATTAACCTCACTAGGAATTCAGCCACTCGAGCTTGAATGTCACTCGGATCAACACCTTTCTCCGTAAGAAGGTGCGGCAAATAAGTTAGAAGCCACTTCCGCCTTTTCAGCATCCCCTAGTGTTAGTGTGTTACCCAATGCATAGTGAACGAGAATAAACCATGTAATTTCGTCATCTTCTTGTATGTGTAACCAGATGAAAGTAGGAAGTGTAAGTTTTTATTATCCTCTTACAACGACTTTATATGCGACTTTTAATGTCAGAAAACCTCTTCATTGGTATGATACATATGCAAATCCTTCTCCAATTCCCTAATACGGTCCCAATCAACCTGAGGTTAAGAAAAAATCTTCTCTAGCCGAATTGGAGATTCCATCCTTTGTTAGAAACCGAACAGGAAAAATTAGGGTTACCGATCTGGCTGAGTCGCGGACTAGGTCGCTCTCTTTAAGACGTTCGCGGCACTGCCTCGCTATTCGCACAGCAGACTATCAGCCGGTCGCCTCCAGGATAAAACAGCCACTCTTTTGATTTGCTCAGTGGTTTTGTGCGGAAAACCGGAGCTCTTTGAATTTCACTCTCTCTCGTGTTTCTGCTCTCTGAGGTGTGTTTAGAGGGTCTGGGGCGTCTCCTATTTATAGGAGCAGAAAACCCAGAATATTCCCTCTTTCTTTGGGAATAAGTCATATTTTAATTAGGGAGATAATTACTCCCATAATTAAAATATAATCTATTAAGATAATTATTCCTAATTATCTCCATAATATTCCTTTTATTAATTATCAATCTTATTTATGTATTATGGGAAAATACTGGATAATTAATTAGGAATTTCATTTATAGCTTTTCAAAGCTATTCATCCCAACAATCCCCCACTTGAATAGTTTTGAAACTATCTTGAGCATCAACAGTTCCATAAGATCGGGCATAAGCTAAGGTATCGCGAAGATTTGAACCTTAACGTAGTGGTTACACTTCCGATTTCATAAGGGTGACTCGTAGTCTAGAACCCTATCTCAGACAATGTAGCACACCGGATCTTTTCATTGAGTGATATTCTCTCATAGGCCGTGCGTTTATGGCCATGCACGTTATCCCGGTTTAGTGAACGCTCTAGAAACTTTGTGCCTCCAAAGTTCCATAGGGAGCGGCCCCACTCCCACATTCACATAGGTGAGTCTATCAGAAGTACCCCCAAAGTAAAGTACTTCACTCCACATAGAGTATAGATCTCATTAAGAGTTTTAACTCAACCTCCAAGGCTTTGGGATTCATGCTTCACTATGCATGAACTTTTCTCAATATTACTCATGACTTGTTATTACCCATTGAACCCGTTTCTTGGGATCTCCAGTCTATCGGGTCGGGTTACCATCACTTGTAATCCATGGTTCGGTAGGCATAAGTCTCATACCCTTAGTGGTATTTTGGACTTTTCTCTCTAGGTAATCCTTTCTTCAAAGGATCAACTAGATTCTGTTAGGATCTCACATGATCCACCCTCATTGCTCTTATCGTTAGGAGTTCTCTTACAGTACTGTGCTTACGACGAATTTGTCGTCTCTTTTCGTTCTAGAACCGGTTCCCTTCTTTAGTAATAGTTGCGGTACTATCACAATGAATCATCTACCGGAGGGATCGGTCTTTCCCATAAGGGAATCTCTA